AGACCACGGCCCGCCCGTGGCGCGGCTCCAGCCCTGCCCAGCGGGCGCACAAGGCCGGGGCTGTTGGGCTGCGGCTGAGCAGGGCGGAGGCCTGCAGCTGGGAGCGCGACGTCAACAAGCTGCCGGCGGCACATTCCTGACGCCCCCAGGGACCGGGGCCTGCCCGGCCCTGACCGACTGCCCTGCCCTGCCCGGACCCGGCAGGAAGGAAGCACTGGCACCGTCCCACCCCACACGGCCCAGCTGCCGGAGAGGTGCCAGATGATGCCCGGCGTCTGCTCCGAGAGCCCACAGAGTGCCCACCATGCCCAGGGCCCCTCCATGGCTCCGGGCATGGTGCCTCCTACAGCAGATCTGGCTCCAGGCATGGTGTCAGCCCCTGCCCGTGGGGTCCATCATGGAGCGGGGCCGGGCAGGGAGCCAGGGCCAGACCAGCCCAGGGTCTGCAGGGCAGGGCGGCAGGCCACGTGCTCCCAGCGCTCACAAGGCACAGACACGCTGCTGGCACCTCCAGACACAGGCCCCAGCGTGGCCACTGGCTGCACAGGGGCTGCTGAGCCGGGAGCTCGCTGCGCCGACAGCACGTGGGCCGGGGCCGGCTGGGCGAGACTTGCGCTCGGTGCTGCACGTCCCCAAACCCCTTCTCTGGTAAAGACCCGGTTGCACCCCTTTGGGCCCAGCTCCATGGGGCCAGCTCGGAGCCGGGGCTCTAGGAGATGCCACAGCTGATGGTGGAGGCACGGGAAGGGCTGAGGACTGCAATGGGCAGTGCCTGGACCGGCTGGGGAGCACGGACAGGCCTCTCAGAGCCTGGGCTGGTCATAGCAGATGTGTGAGATCAGCCCAAACCTGCTGCCCCGAGCACAGCCAGCCCCTGCAAGCCTGGAGGCTGTTCACTCTGGGGCCTAACGATGGCACGCTGCACAGTCACATCATTAATCGTTTCACTGCTGCACATTTTGGGAACGCAGCAACCCTGCGTGTCTCCCAGGATCCAAACGCTTCGCTTCCAGGGCTTCCCGCCTCCCCCACCCTAGATAGTCACCACAGCCGCGTGTGGGAAACACAGACCCAGCAGCCCAGGACCACAGCGCAGTATAAAATAAATGGCATTTAATAGGAAAATAAAGGACAGCGACTCTGCACACTCACAGCTCTGCAGGGACTCCAGGCTGGTGCTCCCTTGTGGCTCCAGCAGCTCGGCGTAGGGCAGCAATGGCCTCCCGCAGCCCCCAGCTCTTTAATTGGCCCCGGCTGCAGCACCGGGGCAATGACCCTGAGATGGAGCTGGGCAGCACCAGGTGGGCGCCGTGGGTCCCTGGCTCAGGGTCTCCCCAGCCCAGCCCAGCCCAGCCCAGCCGCGAGACCCCGCACCACAACTCTTCCAGCCTTAGTGCAGCAGCCCCCGGGGTGCGGGAGAGCTGGAGAAGGGCCTGGTGGGCAGTGCCCACCCTGCAGCCCCACACAGCGGTATCAGGCTGGGGCAGGAGCCCTGACTGCACCAAGAGGCTCCCTCTGAGCCCAGATGGACCAGACCGCCTGCCCCTGCTCCCTGGACTGACAGTGCTGCTGCAGCATTCGAACCCCGGACCCAGCGTCCAGCTGGCACCAGCGGGGCAGCCTCTTCCCGGCAGCCGCCTCACTGCCGGCCTTCCCAGATGTCCTCCCGCTGCTTGTTCTCCAGGCGCTTCCTCTCTGCAGGGGTGAGAAGGAGGCGTGAGGCTTGGATCCCCTGCCCAGGGCAGGGGCAGGGGCAGCCTGGGCGCTGCTCGGGCTCCATCTAGCGGCAAGAACCAAACCCTGCGCCCAGAGCTGGACGCACGCACCTGCTGCCCGAGGCAGGTGGCAGGAGCGGGGCAGCTCCATCGCGGGCAGCGGAGCAGGGGCAGGCTCCCCGCAGCTCCAGGCTCTTCCCAGAGCACTGCTGGGACTGCTGTGGGAGCAGGAGGGGGCCTGGGGTCTGGGGGCACGGGACAGCCCAGGCCTGGGGGCAGCGGACGCAAGTGCTTGGCAGCAGACAGGGAAGGGTTAAGCTGGTGCCTGGCTCCGCTCGTGACAGGCGATGGGGACGGCAGCGCAGCGGTTTCCCAGGCAGCCTGGCCCAGCGCGCGGCCGCGCTCCATCACCCGTTATCTGCCCGCCGCAGCTGCAGGGCCGCGAGCCAGCTGCCAGCCCAGCGGCAGGGAGGGCTCCTGCCCGCGGCGGCGGCTGAGCCCAGACCCCTCAGACCCTACGCTGCGGAGCCAAGGGGCGGGCGAGGCTGCACCAGACCACAAGAGATGGGGGTCTCCGATGCAGCCGCCTCTGGGCGGGGACACGGCTGCACGCAAGACGCAGGGCAACAGGCTGGCCAGGCTCTGATGGGGGGCCCATATGCCCCAGCCCCTGCCCCAAGCTCCCCCCAGACCCACCTCGGGCCTCCTGCAGTTGCTTGCGCTCAGCGTCCCGCTGGGCTCGGCTCTGGCTGCTCCGCACACCGAGGGCGCCGATCACCAGCCGCCTGGCCAGGGCCGCCGACGTCTCCGGGCGCTCCTTCACCGGCTGCAGGAACTCTGTGGGGGCAGGGCAGAGCCGGCCGGGGCGGGTCTCAGAGCTGGGCACCGCAGCCAGGCACTGGGGACGGGCACTGTCCCTGGCCTGGGGTGAACAGCCCTGCAGCGAAGCTGCTGCAAGCTGCGGGGCCTTGTCTGCACTAGGGCTCCACTGCCACGGGCTCAGGGAATACTTGGGCTGGTGCCAGCGCCCTCCCCCTGCTCTTCCCGGCCCGGCCATCGAGCTGGCTCCTCTGCTCTTAGAGAGTTTGCAAAGCGGACGCTGCTCCCTGCCAAAGAGCCCGGGGTGGCCGCACCACTGCACTCACCAGCACAGGCCCTGGCCTTAGCCTTGGCAGCTCGGGTGCCCTGGGACAGGGGCCGCGTCTTCACCATCAGGTGCTTGCTGCTCAGCGCGTCGCGGGCTGCGGGGAGAGGCCGGGGCCGGGTCAGGACGGGGCAACGCCAGCACCCAGCGGACACCCAGATGTGCAGCACCCGCTGGAGGACGGTGGGGCCTGGGCTGGAGCAGGGAGCCTGTACCTGTGATGGGGCTGGAGAAGATCCCCAAGGCGTGCGAGTCGTCCACCCACTTGACATCGAAGCCCTTCTTCCTGGCAGGGCAGAGAAGCCGAGCTGGGGGCCATATATGCCAGCCCCTGATGGGCAGGGGTAGGAGGGGGGTACTAACAGCCGGGGCAAGAAGGGGGCCAGAGATCTGGGGGAGACCAGGCCACTGTAGCCCCTGCCTGGCTCAGCAAGGAGGGCTGACAGCAGCGAGGATGGGGCTGGCATTGGGTACTCAGCTGATGGCAAGAGCCTGGACCTGGGCACGCGGGCAGCTCTGGCCGGGCTGCCTGGGGCTCCCAGACCCAGTTGTGGGGATACAGCGGGGCCGAGGGGTGGTACGGGGCCCGGGGCAGGGCACTCACTGGTAGGCGCAGAAGACGCGCAGCAGGTCCTCGGTGCGGAAGTCCGGCGGGAAGTCGTAGATCTCGATGACGTGGGGCAGCTCCGCGTCGCTCAGGTCCGGCTCGGCCGCCCGGGGGCTGTAGTAGTCGAAGCGGGGCTCCTGCACGCCATGCCGGGGCTCGTCGCCGCCCGACAGCTGCAAGGGGGGATGCACGCACGCCTGTGAGCTGCCCTGCAGCCGACGGGGGTCCCCGCTCCCTCCCCCGCCCCACGAGTCCTGGCCCCTGCGCCGCACAGACTGATGGATGGGGCGAGTCCCAGGGACATGGCCGGACACTGGCGGGGAGATGGATTAACAGCACTGGGCACATCGGGAGGTATCGATCAGGCCTTCGCGCTGCGCCTCCGCTTTTCCCATTAAGTCTCCCATGGCTTGATTTGCTGGGCCATGCGGCGGGGGCCCGGACACGGCTCCCCCAGGCCTCCCCACACCCAGATCAAGGTGCCCGGCACTCCTGGGTGCTGCAAGCTGCGGCGAGGGTTGGGGATGCAGCAAGGGGGGAGAGCCTAGCCACCCCAGGGCTGCACCACGCTCCTCCCCACGGGGGCAAAGTGCCCCCCACAGCACAGCAGCCCCTGCTGGCCCCCCCCCGGCGCTGCACTGGAATCAGCACCAGCCCCTGCAGCTCCCGCACCCCGCGCGGGCCAGGCAGCGCAGGAGGCCGGCGCAGAGCCCATAACTCAGCCCCTTCCCGCGGATCCCTGGAGCGGTCGTAGCGGCGTGGCCGCGGCTGCAAGGCTGGAGTCCATAAATCCTGGCCGGCTCAGTCGATAAAGAGCGTTAATTCCAACAATTTTACGGGGAAGATGGATTCGAGGCAGGTGAGGGGCGCGGGGAGGGGGCAGGGCCTGGCGGGGGCAGGAGCCTGAGTTATGGAGCGCCGGCGACTGCGGAGAGCTGGTGGTGGTGCGGCCGGCCCGGGGGGGCTCCACACAGCGGGTCCAGCTGGGGACCCCGTGCCCTCCACCACCCTCGGTCCCGGAGGCGATGGTGCCCTGGGCTGCAGGCAGGATCGGGCCCGGGAAGATGCCAGAGGACACAGAGCTGCTGCAAAACGCACATGCCGAGCCCCGGAGCCGTCCCGACTGGCACGAGGCACCGCGTGTGGCGGAGCAGGGCCATGGGAAGGGGCAGGTCGTGCAGGGCAGCCGCCAGGTCCCCCGGCTCTGCAGAGGCAGCTGGACAGGCGGAGCCTAGGCCCTGTGCCCACACAGGCAGGGGCTGCTTTCCCCCCGCCGGAGCCAGGCCAGCCCGGAGGAGGGAGCCTGGGCGCCCGGTCGCCTCCCGCCACGGAGACGGCACAGGCCTGCACGGCCCCCTCCGTGCGGGCACTTCCTGACCCTTGACTGCTTACGGGAATGGTGCTGCGCTAATGCTGCGCTAATGCAGCCCTCGCCGCGGCCCGGCTCCCTGCTCCACACCGGGGAGCGGCCGTTCTGGGAAGGGCCGGGCAGGAGGTGCCCGGGAACACGCTCGCTGCTCCCCGCGCATTGATCCTGGCTGCCGCGGCACAGGTGGCAGAGCAGCGTGCACCTGGCGAGGCCCCTGGCACCTCCGCGCCAGGAGAAGGCCTGGTCCTCCGCCGAGAGCACAGGCAGCTGCAGCCTGGCTGATGGACACCTCGGTGCCTGCTGCA